CTGAATGCCACGGGAATCACAGTGAGACCCCCCAGAGGAAATGATGGGCATTAAAATCGCCAAGTAACAGAATCAGTGGCGGTAATGACGAAACAAGAAAGGCAATATCCGGAATTGATAATGCCCGAGAAGGAGAGAGAGATAAAGAACAGAGCGTATACCACCTATGCAAGTGAATACGGGCTGCTGTGTAATGCAGCGAAGAACGAACAAATAGCTGATGGTACGGAATATCAGTGCGTAGAAGAAGGGCACTTTCATTAAAGGTCCCATCAGGAAAAGGATCTGAAGAATACAATAAATTATAGCCTGAGATGGGAGAGATAACAGCAGAGTGTAATTTTGGTTCCTGTAAGCAAACACCAACAGGGGAAAACTGGGAGAGTAACATCTGAAGCTCACCCCGATTACCCCTAAGGCCACGTATATTCCACTGTAAATAGGCCATGATTGGCAATGATAAAGATACTTGAAATCCGCAGGTAAGGGTTCCTACGGACTAGAGGGGTTAGAAAAGTCCACATGCGGAGGTAGCGGAAAACGTTCAAGCAGCGAAAGAACGGTGTGCTGTGAAGAAAGGAGTTGCGCAGATGGAGGAGAGGAGAGAGAAGGAACAGAGGGTGGATCAGTGTCCATTGATGGTTTGGTCTCTGCAATATATTCAGAGATTGCTTCAAGTGTTTCAGAATTCAGAGACGTCGTATGGGAGACGAGGGCGAAAGGGTGGAGGGAACTGGAGAAGAAACGTGGAAAGGGACAGAAGAGGCAGAAACCTGGGAGGTGGCAGAAGAGGAAGAAACTTGGGAGGGAACAGGGGAGATAGGTATAGTACGAGGAGGAGGGTGAACCTCTACACTTGTAACAGAACCAGTGAGAGGGGAAGAACCCGGTACAGAGACAGGGAATGTAAAATGAGGAGGTGGAAGAAGGGAAGGAGGGGTTAAAGGACCTTTTTTTGACTTCTGAGAAGTATAGGGACGATTGGGAGGAGGTGTCGTACGAGATCTCATCGATACTGAGGCTTGTGAAGGAGAACACAAAGAAGCGAGAGCAGACTGAGGTGTTGAAGTAGGGACGTCTGAGCCTAGGACAGCAAAAGAATTAGATACAGGAGTGACTATGAGAGAGGTAACCACAGAGGAGGCTGCAGAAGATGGGACCCCAGAAGTGGAGGGACGTTTTGAAACACGGGAATAAGAAACACGAGGTAGTCTCCCTTGGAGGCGGAGATGAGAAACTGCCATGGCATATGGGAGACCTTCTGCCTCTTTGAGGTAACAGATTTCCCGCTCATTTAAGTAGACTTGGCAACGGCGAGAGTACGAAGGGTGAGCCTCATGACAATTAAGGCAAGAGGGAGGTCGATTGCAAGACGTATTTGAATGGTCATCGGCACCACAGACTGGGCATTCGGCTATAGATCTGCACTATTTTGCTGGATGGCCAAATCGCCAGCAATTTCTACACTGTTGCGGTGTAGGGATCACCTTTCGACTTGTAACCGATGTCCTGCTACCATAAACTGAGGATGGAGTTCACGGCTGTCAAAAGTTAAACGAGCCACATTGGCTGGGTATCGTCTCCGCCCGCGGCAGAAGAACATAAGTGTCTACCTTGAGGATTGGGAGATTTTGAGTTCCAGCTGTTACAAGAATGTTCATTGCCTATGTCTGGAAATTCTGTTGAGCTATGGTATGGGGCAAAATGACGGTTACCACTACAGAATTGAGGGAATGATGTTTTTCAATAGTGGACAGGAACTGTAATCTATATGGAAAGAAGAGGAGATCATTGAGCTTTGCGGTAGCATTCTGTACAGTGTTTGTCCGCGTTTCGTCTTAAGAAGCATTGAAAAGAAATATCTTTAACCAACATGCGAAGGAGTGCCTCTTGCCAATACTATGGTCGGAAACGATGGGCGGTAGAGGAAGTCGGTCGTAAAGTGTAGAATTTAGTCCATTGTGCATTCTGAAATGAGTGTGGAAGGGGAGTGCAGGAAGTGTCGATCATTTCTGAGAGAAGAACGAGTAAGGTGGAGAAGTATCATTCAGCAGGTAATTGTCGTTGGTTTTTGTTTAAGCATGGGACCAGAGTTGGTCGAGGTGGAATGGGCCGGACGATTCAAAAATTGCCCACACCGGTAGAGGGAGAGAGGGCCGGAAAGCATAGTTCAAAGGAGATGCGGAGGGCTCAGATAAAAAATTTGAAGGAGTCAGTCGAGACCTCAGTACCTGAAGCGGGGTGAGGAAACAGCACCGGCAAGAGGTACAGAGGCATGAGGAGTGTCCGAAGAGTGGTCCAAAGACGAGGCGGGGTCAGAACTGGGTGCAGGTTCATGGATTGGGTTCTCCATGGTTATGTTACATCTTTCTTTTTCGTTGTTTTAAGGTAAAGAGAAAAAAAAAGAAAAGAAAATAAAAATAAAAAAAAGAATAAAAAAAAAGGGGGGGACAGGGGAGGGATAGTTCCTAGGAGGAATGAAAGGGCCAGAAATCTCCCTCCGTGCCCAAGAGGACCTCAGCACCGCAAGTAGCGTAGATGCAGCATGGAACCTGTGCATATCCTACCATCATTCCGTAAACCAAGCTATCGGGATAGCAACCCTCACATCTGCCCGAGCTACCTCGGTGGACAAAAATGAGAGGGCGGCCGGATATCCACCAACAAAGCATACCTCCTTCGGCCACCACCCCCGGAATCGAAAGGTTGGCTTCCAGAGATAACACCGTCGCCGGAGAGACACCCAAAGCCAACCTCCGGGATGACGTAGATGGATCGGGACATCCCCGGGCAATCCAGATTCCACGGAAAAACTACGCCACCGCCAAGAACCTAATGGAATGGGATGGACCCTGTTACCCTTTCCCCTACCTAGGAAACTTAGCGTGCCTGTGAGAAAAAATCCCACCAGGGCCATAAAGGTAGGGCAAAAGGAGGGGTGGGGAAAGGAGGAGGAGGAAAGGAAAAGGGGAGGATGGGGATAGGGAAGGGGGGTATTGGGGGGATAATTAGGTTCGGTCTGAGAAGGAGACGACAGGTCTAAATCCTCAAACCAAGAGCCTCTTCACCACAACAAGGAGCCCCCCTTGAAGAGGTAAACCCACAATAATCCTTGAATTTATACATTTATATTCCATCTTTTCCTTCCGTAACCGATCATTCAACATAACTGCTACTCCTTCCTTAGTTCTAACTCTGATACTCCCAACTTAGTCCCATTTATTTCTCCCCACTGAAACACCTCTGCCCCTTTCAGCTTTGTTTTACTTAGAGCTAGGACATCCAACTTCTTTTCATTCATAACACTGGCCATCATCTCTTTTTTATCAACTGTACTACATCTGTGCACATTCAAACATTCCAGCTTCATAAAGTTTTTGACTCACGAAATCGTAATGACACGATTGCAAACAAACCATACCCCGGCCGGGATTGAACCCGCGGTCAGAGAGTCTCAAAACTCCAACCCGTCGCGTTAGCCACTAGACCAGCTAGCCACAGGAGTGGCTGGAGTTTTGAGACTCTCTGACCGAGGGTTCAATCCCGGCCGGGGTATGGTTTACAAAGTTTTTCTTATTTTCAGTAATTTATACAGAAGGGGTTACTAGCCCACTGTTCCCAGCATTTTAGTCGCCTCATACGACAATGCATGACTTACAGAGGAAAGATTCTTTCCACTTCCCCATGAAGATGAAAAGGAATAAAAACAACAAGAACTGTTTAGAAAACTGGATGAAAATTCAGATCGGTATGTATATATATATATGTGTATGTAGTGTGCCAAAGTAGCAAGACGTAACTGTTTTCTTATGTGTTTACGAGACAGAAAAAGACACCAGCATTACTACCACTGTGTAAAAACAATCACAGTTTCTTTTTCACATGCATCTGGCAGGATGGTAATACCTCCCTGGGTGGTTTTTTCTACCAACCTACTACCTCTTTACTCTTACCAGTGTTTTAGTACAGCCCACTTATTATATTTCAACATAAACACTTAAGAGTCCACGTTCCCTACCCTTCCTATATCCTTCCTGCTCCTCTGCCATCCTAACTGTGTCTTATCCTTAATCAATAATATCAATAATACTGTAATTCTACCACACCACTATACCTAGTATACTCTTATTTACAAATACTGTTTTAGCCCGGTTACTTGGCCAAAATATTTTACAGCATTCGCTTTGCAAGTCATTTTCTGAAATTTTAACAATTACACCTCCATGTAAATTATTTTATAAAGATTGTATTGTTACCTTCACCAAGAAGACATAGTGTAAATGTAAAGTGGTATTGATAAATAACGGATAATTTCATGAAAAAACATGGATAGTGTCATGTTCCTATACACAGAAGGTGCCAATCTGCTCTTACAAATGAGGCATGTTTCAACATGCAAACAGCTTGTTTGCATGTTGAAACAAAAGGTACAACTTGTTTGCAAGTTGGAGACTTCCTGTACTGTATTAAAATTACCACAAATTATTTACTGTTTGCCATAATTTTGATTCTATGAGTAATCAATACAATCCAAAATAAAGTACAAGACAGAACAATATGCATACATAATGAGGCAAAATTTAAGTTTTCAAATCATCAAGTTAATCAGCTAAAGATGAAGTGAGAAAATTTATATATAATAACCTAAATTTAATGTATTTGTCTTGAGATAGATAACAATGTTAACAGTGGTAATATTCACAGAAAAGCACTAAACTCAAAGGGAAATGGAAGGCAATTAAATTTCATTAGAGGGGATGGTAATTCCATATCCCTGGATCATCATGCGCCTTACACCACCATTAATACACCTCCCTTGGTGTATCAGGAAAGTAGAATTCTAACCCAAACAGCAGGTCTTGCTATAAAACTAAACCTCCCTTATGAATTAATGATTTCCTCAAACAATTCTGATGGGTGAATACACTATGCCTTATTTTCTCTTATCTATCCTTTAGCTAATTAAAAAAACACTGCAAAAGTATTATTAATTCATTTACCTGTTTAATAAATTCCTGCAAAAGCCCTGAGTTCTTAAAAGACTGATAAAAGTCACCGTGACCGGGGGGATACCACCTGAAAATAAATTATAAATTGTACAGTGTGTCATCATGTATCCTATGCCACATAAAAACCTTGCATTATAACACCACTATAGGTATCACTACCAATCAGTTGACATGCAAAGATAAGCAAAATTAACAATTCTAAACATTTTTGGCAACTGTATAATAAAAAATGGACAAGCAGCAGCTTTCAACAGTCTCACTATTAGAAGTATAGGTTATGAGAGCTCATCAGGGTAAGTAAAATATTGAAATAATGCAGGTAAAAAATACATCCCAGAAAAAAAAAAAACATACCACAGGCAGGGATAGAACCTGCGATCAGAGACACTCAAAACTCCAGACCGTCGCGTTAGCCACTGGACCAGCTAGCCACAATAAGATTCATCCAACTAGGTATACATGTATTTCTACACCATAGGAAGGTTAGCATAGGCACCACTGTGACCACAAATGCAAGTTTTTACAGACGAATCTCCAGCTAGTGTGGCCGTGACGAACTCTAGCTCAAGTCCCCTCAAAGCCATTAACATGACTCACAAAATCGTAATGACACAATTGCAAACAAACCATACCACAGGCAGGGATAAAACCCGCAATCAAAGAGTCTCAAAACTCCAGACCGTCACGTTAACCACTGGACCAGCTAGCCACAATAAGATTCGTCCAACTAGGTATATTTCTACACCATAGGAAGGTTAGCATAGGCACCACTGTGACCACAAATGCAAGTTTTTACAGACGAATCTCTAGCTAGCATGGCTGTGACGAACTCTAGCTCAAGTCCCCTCAAAGCCGTTAACATGGCTCATGAAATCGTAACGACACGATTGCAAACAAACCATACCACGGGCGGGGATAGAACCCGCGATCAGAGTCTCAAAACTCCAGACCGCCGCGTTAGTCACTGGACCAGCTACCCACAATAAGATTCGCCCAACTAGGTATATTTCTACACCATAGGAAGGTTAGCATAGGCTCTGAGGGGACTTGAGCTAGAGTTCGTTAAGGCCACGCTAGCTGGAGATTCGTCCGTAAAAACTTGCATTTGTGGTCACAGTGGTGCCTATGCTAACCTTCCTATGGTGTAGAAATATACCTAGTTGGACGAATCTTATTGTGGCTAGCTGGTCCAGTGGCTAATGCGATGGTCTGGAGTTTTGAGACTCTCTGATCGCGGGTTCTATCCCCGCCCGTGGTATGGTTTTTTTGCAATCGTGTCATTACATCCCAGAGCCTGCTAGAGATAGTACTTGCTTGTGAACAATGGGTTGCAGTGCCAGATGATGCTTCTGTACAGCAGAGTACTTTTATTTCCTTTTTCCATGATTCTCAAAGTGGCATGTGGTCTAATAAAGCTTTCAAAGGGAAATTAAGGTTTATTTTTTCTGGTATTACTTCTGGAGGAGTGAGGAGGAGAGACTTAGACTGTGTAAATGGTCTTAACCCTTTCAGGGTCTGTCCCGTTGATCAACGGCTTTACGTTGAGTGTCCAAACCGTAGATCAACGCCAAAATTCAAGCGCCGTCAAATTTAGCGCGAAAACGCTCATAGGCCTACATGTGAGAGAACGGGTCTGCGTGGTGGGTGTGCACCATAAACAAAAAATCTAGGCGCCCGCATAGCATTGTGGGAACACCAGCTCAGTTACCCTTGTTCACCATGCCTCGTCGCAAGTCAGCTCTCACTCCCCGGAAAATTGGGACTCTCCTCTTCCTATCTGATAGTTCTGACACTGATGGAAGTGGAAATGAAGACGAATTCTATGGCTTTGATCAATTAGTGACAAAAAAGAATGACCAGGATATCGATAATAGTGCAGAAAACCCTGACGATCCTCAACCTTCTACCTCTGGTGTGGGCACTCGTGACTCACGGTCAGTTGTTCCTCATCGCAAGAGAAAACTAATATTTTCGCTGGCCAGGCCTCTGACTTCAGTAATGATGATGATAGTGACGTGGACTGTGATTTTATTGCGCTCGACGATCAATCGAGTAGTGATAGTGAGGAATCATATTCACCAGTGAAGCGTCGGTATGTTCGCCGCCACATGCGCTCAGGTAGTGTACCCTATGCTGTGCCCAGGGGACGGAGTACATCCCGTGGCCCAACACCAGTTTTTAGGTTAGTGATAGTGAGGATGATGTGGCTACACTTGGCATGGATAGACCACAGGCATCAGTGGATGGTGTTAGTGGTGATGGTAGTGGCACCGCCATGCGTGACTCACGAGGCCACACTGGGACCCACTCTGCTGACTCGTCAGTTCAAGGACAAAGCGGAGCGCCAGCCACCAGCCCACCACAAACCACAACCACCCGCACAACCAGCCTATGAGTCCAGTATCCACCAGCAAACCGTATGTGGGATTGGCAGCAAAAATCCCAATTTTGTTCCCAAGCCTCACCACTTTGATGATTCTCAAAGTGGAATTCTACCTACTTGTCCCCTTGGAACCACGGCCAATGAACTGGAATTCTTTGAATTATTCTTTGACCAGCCATTGATGGAAATTATTGTCAGGGAAAGTAATAAGTATTTTGAGTACACCATGGCAATAATACGATCTTATCACCACAGTCAAGACTACACAGGTGGAAAGAGATGACTGTTGCAGAAATGTATTTGCTTTTTGCAACAATAATGCTTATGCCTCACGTCTATAAGCATAATATAAAAACATACTGGTCCACAGATCGGCTAATTTCTACCCCGGTCTTCAGTGAAATCATACCAGTGAACAGGTTTATCTTACTCTTACGTATGTTGCACTTCTCTGACAAAACCAGGCCTGACAGAAGTGACAGGTTATACAAGATTAGAAATGTTTTCATGTATCTCAAACAAAAGTTCAGCATATACTTTTATCCATTCAAGAATCTTGTAATTGACGAGTCTTTGATTTTGTTCAAAGGTAGACTGTCACTCAAGCAGTATATACCTAGCAAGAGGAAACGCTTTGGTATAAAACTGTTTGTACTCTGTGATTGTGACAGTGGCCTGGTGTTGGATATTGTTGTATACATGGGTAGTAAAACATTGAAAGATACCAAGATGTTATTGGTATCTCAGGTGACGTAGTGAGAAACATGATGGCACCTTATCTTGGTAAGGGCATACATTATATACCGATAACTGGTACACAAGCCCATTACTCAGTGATTTCATGCGAGTGAACAAGACAGATGTGTGTGGCACAGTGCGTTCTAATCGTAAACATATGCCCAGTGCTCAACGCAGGTGCTCTGGTGATGATGTGCAGGTGTTTACTGCCAATGACATCATGGCATTACGGTGGCATGACAAACGAGATGTCACATTGTTGACAACCATTCACCGTAATGAAATGCAAGACAGTGGCAAAGTTGATCGAGAGACTAATGAACGTATTCGAAAACCAGTGTCAGTGATTGATTATACACAAAACATGCGCTTGGTTGACAAGTGTGACATGCAGATTGGTTTTGTTGACTGTGTTCGTAAGAGTTACAAGTGGTACATGAAACTTTTCTTCCATCTCATGGACATTTCAATGCTCAATGCATATAATATGTACCAAATAAAGACTGGCAACAGACCATCGTATGGTGAATTTTGTTTGTCTGTTGTCAGACAACTCATAATGAAGTACCAGGTAACAACACCTGCTATACAACATGGTCCTCAAATTCCTCAGGATATACCCAAGCAGTTTGAGGAGAGATGGTGGTTATTTCATAATACAGCTTCCTTCAACTAAGAAGAAATTTGCTCAGAAGAGATGCATTGTCTGTGCACAAACAAAACGACGGCAACAAAGACGCAAAGACACTCGGTTTTATGTGTGAGGAATGTAAGGTGCCTCTGTGCATGGTGCCTTGTTTCAAGGAGTCCACAAGCTCCAGCAGTTTTAAAAACCATGTTCAGTGATTGTAAATATAAAATATATGATAGAACATTAGTATATACAATTTTTGTGCATGTTTATTGTAATAAACAACAGTGGTAAACAAATAGATAATAACTTTAGTGCAGTTATTGTTTTTCAATACAGTGAGTTTTTTATATATACTTTAAAATACAGTATTGGTCTCTCAGGCCCCAAATGTTAGTAGGAATAGAAAAAAAATTGGAAAAGAAAAAAAAAACAACAAAAACCCACAAAATAATGTAATGCGCGTATGTGGAATTCGTCGATGTTCCCGCCACCACATCATTTTTGACACACTTCTTGGCACTGTATCTCGGTAAGTACTGATCAGATTTTTTTTTTGTTTTTGTCTTATTACCTTCACAAAAGTTGCTCTTTAATTCTGTAAGAAAAAAATAATTTTTTTTTTTTTTCAAAATTTCTTGGACACTGGAGCACCATTTCAGATTTGGCCTTGGACCCTGAAAGGGTTAAAAAATGAAGCATGTGAAGTGCCAGAGTTCTCTTACATGGCAGGGAGAGATAACTATTATAAGTATCCTCAAATCCAATGATAAAACCAATATAAAAACAGTTCAGACTACACTTAATAACAAAAGAACATACAAAATGATACATGTCAAGAATTACTAATCTGATATGGAAGTCTAAACAACGTATTATGTAAGCAATTTAACAAATTAAAAAGACCTAAAAGATTTCTCTGAATCTTTGTATCTAAAAACTGTCCAGAAACAGAAATATAAAATTAACTAAACCAGCCTGCAGACACTGCCAACAAAAATTTAAAGTTTTTCTTACTATAGGGTCAAAACTAGCAAGCAATATCCCAGCCTCAAATACTCAGGCAAAAGACTACTTCACTGGAAATTACCCAAAAACTTTATGTTTTGCTCCTGTTAATCCTACGAAATCTCACACTCACCAATCACTAAAAAAAGGCAGGAAACCTAATTATCTTGCTACCACTCATGTACAAAAAAGCAGCTCATGTACCTCGCCCTTACTGCAACTCTATTTAACAAATCAGTTGATCATCAACTTTCCCATTCATACTCAAGATAGCAAGGGTTACCCCAATCCTCAAGGAAGGTAATCC